TACATGTTAAGGGTGGAATAAATATGTTTTTAATAAAAAAAATACATATTAGTTCAAATTCTTTAAAAAATAAAATCTTACTTTTAAACTATATTGTTTCATTTAATTAAATTTTAATTTAAAATTTAAAAATATATTCTATTAAATATTGAAATTTAGATCTAAACACTACTAGATTTAGGGTACATTTCGGTCAATCATATTGATCGAAATAGTGCTCTATATGACCGAATAAATCATACTTCGATCAAAACCACTAACCAAAATGTATAGCCCGAATAGCCTTTGTACGAAATAGTATTTTGGACAAAATTTCATCTTAACCGAAATAACTCATCAATTCGTTAATATAAGTGACCGAAAATGTGAGTGGGAAAATCATTAAATAACTACTTAAATTCGGACAAGTAATTTGACTGAATTTAATAATAATATTTTATGTAAAAATTTTGGTCAATATAATTGACCGAATTAAAGGAAGGTCTATTTTTAGTATTTAAAATAACTTTTTTAGGGTTAATAACTAACTGAAATAAGAGCACAAAAACACTTCTCCCAGCCCAATCTCGATCAAGTAAAATGACAGAAATATATGGCCAAAATGTTTAAAATGTGGTGGAATTTTTGAGATGTATTTTGGTCAATATTATTGACCAAAATATATTGGCAGAAAACATTAAATTTTTGGCAAAAATTTTAGGCGGGCGAAATTGGCAAAAATTTCCAATTTATTTCGGTCAAGTATATTGACCGAAATATATCTGCAGAAATTTTTAAAATTTGGGCGGAAATTTTACGGGGGTGAAGTTGACGAAAATTTTCCAGTTATTTCAGTCAAGTATATTGACCAAAATATATATCCAGATTTGAAAAAAAATAAATTATTTAATAAATTTTAATATACATAATAGATATTATAAAAACATTTAGTACTAAAATAATTCGATATTAATATTATGAATTATATATAATTTTTATTTATTTAATTTTTAAATATTTAATATTTTTTACTTATGATTAGAATTATTTATTAATAAAAAATACTTTACATTTATAAAAAGAATCCTACTAAAATATAATGTCAAATAAATTAAAAAATGACAAATAAAATCATATTAACTAAAAGCATGCAAAATAAATCCAAAATAAATGAAAAAATATGTTTATGAGTAAAGTAAAACAATATGTATATTAATTATGGTAATAAAGTTAATTACCTCCATAATGCTGCCTCATTCTTCACTAAATTAGGTAGCCTTTTCAAAGAAAAAATCAAATCATTAGTATAAACATGATACATATATACATAAAAGTTGATAAAATGTTACGAAATATTTACAATATTTAGACAATCAACGTAAATGGAAGGAAAAGAGATATGGTAAACAAAAAAGAGTTACTAATATTAGTTTAGCATAAAAAAAAAATAAAGAACGTAAATTAAACTTGAAATAAAAAATAAAGAGGGGTACTAAGATGAAGAAATACAAATGTAATGAAAATTGAAAAATAATTAACTAAAATTAAGAGAAATAAAAGATTAACAATGTATTCATAAAATTTCTGTGGAAGAGAAGAAAGAACTGAAGAAGAGAAGAAGAATAAATGAAAGAAAAGAGTGAGCCACTATATATAGAAACACTTATGCACTCTTTCGGTCAATCATATTGACCGAAATAAAAAGCGAAAATTTCAAAACCGCGAGCCAACGAGAATATGAGATTATTTCGGTCAAATATTATGACCGAATTAAATGACGAGGGAAATTCAAAATTCCTCCAAAATTTTTTGACAGTGGTTAAGCTGATACCTACGTTTGTTGACCTTATTTCGGTCATTCTTGTTGACCAAACTAATACTCTTAATTAAAACAGCACCCACCTTGTTGTCGGTGCATGGGATAGTGTGATCGGTTTTTCGGTCAATTATTTTGACCGAAATAATATGCATAGACGTATGGTGCTTTACTCCAACTACCGGGGGGGTTTTGTTGGGATTATTTCAGTCAATAAGTATGACTAAAATGATCCCTTATTTTTTCGAATTGCAAGGTTTTCAGGACAGCCCGCTCTGTACAGCCGGCTTACGATTTCTGTAGCCAGCAGGGTTGTCATGTGTTTTGACCGAAATCGTTTGGTAAGGCTTCTACTTAATCCTATAGTTCTTGCTTTTGGATGTTAATTCCTCTTCTTTTTTACTTAATTTCTTTCAAGCTCTTTTAGATAAAATTTATAATTAATATAATATAATTAGCTCTGTATTCTAAACATATATTAAAATATGTAATTGAAACACATAAATATAAAGGATAACGTAATATTATAATTAAAGTACTATGACATAGAATACTAATTAAAATACTATGCCCTAATCTCATACATGGATAACAAAAATTAGGAAATATGTTGCAGAATATAGATAAGGTAAATATACTATGGTTCTTGAATAGAATGTAGTTTTTCACATGCCTCATCCCATGACTTTTTGGTAAATGTAAGATGTAAACGACCATTACCTAAAATCTTTGTAACAATTTCAGAGGACTC